TTTTATTGATGGTCACGGCTTCAGAGGTCTCAGTCCATAGGTAGCTGACACCATGACTCTAGGCCTGAGGTGAGGCAGGATACCATGGCAGAAGGGTGTGGAGGAGGAAAGGACATGACAGCCAGGAAATAGAGACATGTGTAGAACATGTTAAAATACAGATTCCCAGACCCTACTCCAGACCTAAGATCAGAACTTCTGGAAACAGGGTCTGGGTGTTTGTTTCAATCAGCTCCCGGGTGATTCTGAAGACTCACCAGGACAAAATATAAACTCAAAGACATGCCCCTGCCCTGTGACCTACTACTTCCAGCTATACCCTACCTACCTATAGTGGATTAATCCATTCAAGTGGATTAATGCACTGATTAGTTAAGGTTCTCATAACCCAATCATTTCACCTCTAAAATTTCTTTCATTGTGGAGGACACCTCATATCTAAACCATAAAGGTGGGTGATTACTCAGGGGATGCTCTAATCAGTCTCCCAGGTGTCTCACAGTTTGGGCCCCCATTGTAGTAAACAGTTCATCGACACACCCTTCATGGACTGCTTTCCCCTTGTGGTCTCACATCTCTACTCCCTCACCAGTATTTTATGAGGCCACGTGCAAGATAAATCACTTGCACTGAAATCTGTGCGTGAGGGTCCGCTTCTGGAGTAACCCAATCCAAGACAGCCCCTCTTTCCTCCTAAATACATAAAACTTAATCCAGACTTGTTCAGGTAAACACAGTTATTTTCAAAGTTTTTAGGGTTTTCTTCCTCTCCATGTCTCTATATAACCCTAGATCCCAGAATTCAGGGGTCTAGAGAAGGTAGAGGGTCGGAGTGTCAACATTTTGTATGTAGTTAGATTTTTGCTGATTTTCCAGTTTTTACTGTGGTATCTCCTACTCTCAACTATGCCTGGTATCTTCATTTTATTCTTTCTGGGTGAAAAATCTTTCAGTTTTCAGATGGTACCAAGGAGGAGAATCTGGGTGTCCATTTGCTTTGTAA